AGTTGTGAGAACAATAAAAATTCTTCCTGAGCACCAAAATCAGCATACTGGAATGATTTCTGAAGGATCATGTGACTCTAGACTGACTGAAGTAATGACTGTTGAAAATTCAGCTTTGCCAACACAGAAAAAATTATTCTAAAATGTATTAAATATTATAAAATAGCTATTATAAATTGCAGTAATATTTCACAATATTACTGTTTTACTGTAATTGTACAACTGCCTTGTTGAGTATTAGAATCTTCTTTTGAAAACAACAAAAATCTTACTGACCATGAGCTTATGAAAGGTAATGTATGCATATGTTTGCGCGTGTGTGTGTGTGTGTGTGTCTGTGTCAATGACGTGACGCCTAAATTTACTGTCCGATGTTAAAAATTGGTTTAAATGCATAAAAAGATGCCATATATATGAAGGACCTCTCCCATATATAAACTCACTTTAACTTTTGAAAAAACATTAGCTTTTTGTAATTTTTCTGTTATTCAAAGTGTCAAAATATCATGTGGTGCGAAAAAATGTATTCAAATTAATTTTATGCACTATTTGGCATGATTTCCAAAGTGTTTTGTAATCCTGTGTCAAATTGCAAAGCATTTGTATTTATATCTCCATCATAATATACAAACAAACTTTGTCCGATGATTTCCATTTGATGAAATATCATGTGGTGCGACCATCAAGAAACTACCATTTTGGGACTTTTATGTTGAAATCCATTCAAAGATAGGACTTTGCATCATATACCAATTTGCTAAGGACCCATGGAAGCATCAAGCAGGTTTATAAGTCTCTTTCAAATTTGGAAAAAAAAAATTACGGCTGGTATGTAGTTACCACATTTGGTCTCATATGGACATTGGCCAGGTATGGACACTACAAGGCTGTTGTTAGCCCTCGAGCAGGGCACCCGCTCGCTCGAGGACTACATTCAAGAATATCTAAATGGCGGCGACAGATGAGTGTGATCACAAAATGGCAGACACAACAGCACCCCGTCAAGTCACCGCTGATCTTCACGAGTCAGGTCAAGTCACAGTTCA